AGCGCTTAAGATATAGCCTTTGCAAAGAAAATTTGCCTGCTTCCACGCCTCAACAATCATGAATTTCTCGTTGTCCGGTATGTCCGCAGCAGGCACTGGAGGTTCTTCACTAGTGAATTTCTGCATACCAAGTGTGGTAAGCCAGAAGAACACCCTTTGCTGCCATCCTTTGAAGTTGGCTCCGGAAAATTTTCCCAGTTTCTCTGTCGGTGGAACAGCAGTCCGGCTTGACGAGGCTATCGTCGTTGCCGCAATAGTTGCAAAAGAATTTCCGTTATCAATTGCCATTTCTCACTGTAAACAACAGAAGAGTTCAATTAATGGNATATTATAATTCTGTATTGCTGTAAAGTTTAACGAAATAGATTCTGAAAAAAAAAACAGTATAGGAATAAATCGAGCCCACTGAATACACAATGTGTCCTTAAGGAAATTATTCCCCTCAAGTACCCGAGGTGCTGGAATATATCCTCCCAGGATAGAACGATTTAACTCACCGGAGTGTTGGTATCAAAACGCCGGTGAACAACGAGCCACTCGAAGGCTGTAAAACACACTGGAATTTATTGTGCAGAAGAAGAAGAAGAAGCTTAGAAAATTTCGTAAAGAAAGATTTTGGGATTCAAACTCTATTTATAGAGTTGCTGGCATTGTTTCTGAAAAGGTTTGCAACCTTTCAGAAACAGCCATGGCTGTTGGAACAGGGTTGTTTGAAATATTGCGGGAAAATATATTTAAAATAATCCGGAAAAGAAAACGGCATGACGGAAGTCGAAGCCGAGCCGAGCCGAGCGACGACGACATGGCTGTTGGAACAGGGTTGTTTGAAATATTGCAGGAAAATGTATTTAAAATAATCTGGAAAGAAAACGGGCCTGACCGAAGCCGAAGCCGAAGCCGAGCCGAGCGATGACGACGACGGCGCGAGGCTTGCCTTCTTCTTAACTCTTTAAGAGCTAAAAGAAGAGCAATTATATATATACTCATCAAAAGCCTTTTCTTCCTCCGATATGGGACAATGTCCCTTTGCCAAGGGAAACTCAAATATTTTATTTTTCCTCCATTTCTCATTCACCCTCTTTAAGCTACACAAGCTTAAAATCCCAACACCAATTGGGTTAATTTTGGTTGACTTTTGGTATGTGTCTATTTGTGTTGGTTCATTGTTTGATTGAAGCACCTTGGTTTATGGACCTGAACTGAAAATTAAGCTGTTCTCTTGGTTCAGTTAGCACTTTTTTTTTAAAATAAAATTTTGTACCTGCAAATATTACACTTTATACAGAGATCAATGTTGAATAGCTATTGCTTATTTTTCATTTCGGAGAGTATGAAACAGTATCCATATCCCTCCACAGCTTAGAAAATTAAAACAACCTACTCCATTAATGGTCTTAGAATTCCCTATTCTCTTGGTAGAAGTACTTTCTCTGCAGGCTTAACTTCTTCAGTCGGCTTTCCTTCCATAGTCTAAAAGGCTTGTTCCTTAGTCTTCTTCTGCAATGTATTGGTGCATCCATTTCAAAACTGTCTAGAGGGATACAGATTAGGCCTTTGTTAAGTTGGTGGTGTTCCTTTAATTAGCTTTGCTTCTCCTGTTTGCAAATAACTGTATCAACTTCATATCTATGACTTTATCAATGTACGGTAATAATTTATTATTCCTTAATATTTAAGATAAACAAATTTGAAGAAAGGCATCAAAAGACATACCTCACTGGAAAATTGTGTCTGTTCTCATGAATTTTTATATGAATATGAGTGTAGGAAAACATCAAGAAAGGGGAGAAAAAGACAGAGAAGACTGAAAAGCTTTGACAGTATTTAATTTTCCTATCTCATGTCTCCTGGGGTAAGGGAAATAGTCCTGGTCCCTTCCTTTCCCCAAGAAAAACTGGAAAACGACATTTTTAAAACATAACCACCCTTGTATGGCCATCTGAAGTAGAATACTGTGGTAGCAAGTTAAGTTTATGAGTTGTTGGCATACGTTTGAAGTCGTATGCTTCGTATACTCTTAACTGGTAAAAGGTAATTGCTGCATGTAGGAGTATAGTGTATACGGAGCTGAAGCATTTACATCAGACTTTGATGTCATTTCTAGAGAAGTGCGGGGGACATGCGGAGTACATGTATGTTAAGATGGACCAATTAGTTCACTTAGAAGTGCAAACTGCAGAGTGTATTCTCTTATGCTTTTTGTTTCCTCCCTGCCTCCCTCAGATCAGAGCATCTTCAAAGCATATGCTTATTAAACATGTAGCATTATCCTTTTTCTGTGAAAGTACTATGCTTGACTGATTTAGGGACAACATGTTTATCCTTCTGTTCTTCATTGGTCCTTAATGACATTTTAATGATTGCAGACTGATTGGGAAGGTGGTTATTATCCACTTACAATTCACTTCAGTGAAGATTATCCGAGTAAACCACCAAAGTGTAAATTCCCACCAGGTTTTTTCCATCCGAATGTCTATCCGTCTGGAACGGTTTGCTTGTCGATCCTCAATGAAGACAGTGTATGTGGGCTATGCTGTTTCTTTTGTCCTGTTCTTGGCTTATTGACTGTGCTCGATGTACGACAACTATTAATTTTCTTTTCTTGTTTAGGGGTGGAGACCAGCCATTACCGTGAAACAGATACTGATTGGTATTCAGGACTTGTTAGATCAGCCAAACCCTGCTGATCCTGCCCAAACTGAAGGCTATCATCTATTTATTCAGGTAATTTTGATTTAAAAAAACTGTTAATTCTCCATTTTTCCAAATTCATTATCCTACTCTTGATGTTATCCTTAAATTGTGTCTACTTTTCTGTAAGAGAACTTTTTTCTTTATAATATACTAAAATGTACAATTGAACTACTTTCCAAGTACTTTCACTTTCTCACTTCATATAACATTCTTTTTATCTTGGAATGTTGGGCACCATTCTATTATTTTACACAATTTTCTCAAATTGCAAGAATTTAAATGCATTTAACTAGTCAAAGTTAGTCTTTGATGAAATATTTTTTCTGCCATTTTAGCTGTTTTTTTTCCTGCCATTTTAGCTGTCTACAGGTATTTTAATGTTTTGTTCACCTTTGCAGGCATAATACAAAATTCAAATAAGCATCTTGAACTTTGTATTTCAATTAAATTGTGTCATATATAATGGGATGAAAGCGTAATTACCGTTCAATTTCAAATTTTATCAAAAAGTTGATTTTAGCTGACTATGCATCCCAATTTATTACTCCCTTCGTTCCAGTTTATGTGAACCTATGTCCTTTTTGGTCAGTTCCAAAAAGAATGACCCTTTTCTAAATTTGGAAACAATTTAGCTTAAACTTCTAATTTTACCCTTAATGAGAAGCTTTTATAACCACACAAATACTCTGGACCCCTTTTTGATTTGTTTAGGACCACAAATTCCAAAAGTCTTCATTTTTTTTAAACTCCGTGCAGTCAAACATGTTCATATAAATTGGAACGGAGGGAGTATAAATTTATGACAGTGTGAATCTTAACTTTTAATTCGACCCCCCTTTACTAGTATAGGATGACTTTCGGTCTTTACCTTAATAACCAGGGGCAGATTCAGTTCAATAGCTATGGGTTCCCGTGAACCCAGTAGCTTTTGTCTAGAGACTGTATTTGTATTGAAAAATTATTAAATGTATAAGAATATTTAGCTTAGAACCCAGCCCGTTCATCTAGTTAGTATATATTAATTCGAGATTTTTGTAAGAACCTATAAACCTAAAATTCTGGATCCGCCTCTCTTAATAACCATAACAAACGTGATGAAGGAAGTGCTAACTGCCATTTCTCTTGCACTATTAGAGTGTGCTTTAGCTTTTATGTCACAATAATGTTCCTGCACAAGGAGGGTAGAAGGGCACTGTTGACTTTTGCTGTAGGTTAAATGCATTAGTGATCGGTATTAGGTTTCATGGACGTCACTCTTTGGAAGCTCAAGAATCATTTCTGGTTTCTTTTTCTCTTACATGAATTATATCAGATTTTATGGAAACATTTTGTAGTTATCTCATTAGTAGAACAAACTAGTATTTGCAGGTCCATATTGTGTCTTTTCTTGGTCATGCTTGAAACTTTTGAAAGATGTATTAGTTCAGAATATGAGTTTGATACTCTCTGTTTGATGCACGCTCATATTACTGCAGGATGCTCTGGAGTACCGAAAGAGGGTGCGATTGCAGTCGAAGCAGTATCCTCCTATTGTTTAAAGAATGTTTTGTCTAATCTTGTGCTGGCTCCTAGTGTACGTCAAAGTTTGCTGTCATCCCCTGGCAATAGCGGACAACAAATCTGCCAGCTACGGATGCTGATTGGTATTTGTTTAAGTGGAGAAGTAAATATTTATAACTACAGGATTTTATATCTGATGTTATTGCCTTTGATAGTTCTCAAAGAGTATATGTGTATAACAAGCACAGCTGCAAATTGTTACTATTTAAATGGTGAGAATCTGTTGAAAGTTGTTTTCTTTTGCGAAAGCAAAGATTTTGTCGCAAATTTACGGAAAATCTTGCTCCAGGGAATATGGGGTTGTGTCCTGTTGTTTTGGATCCAAAATCAGCTCTGCTCTTTCTGTTTTCTTCTTTTGTTGTTGTTCGTCTGACTGTGCCAAATAACAACTATTAAAGGGAAGATTTGTCACTGGCAAAACTTGGGTACATCTTGAATTTTGATTCCTTCGGGACGTTATGACTTTATATCTGGTTCCGTTCAAAACCACTCAAAATTATATTGTAAAATTCTATCACTAACATTACTCTAATCAACATTCACAAATTTCAAGATTTCAAATCCATTTAGCATTTTAAATTTAAATTTTGATGTGATATCTAATTCAATAAGTTAATTTTGACCAGGTATTAAGATGTTTTCATTTACCACTATTAACATATTTCTTCTATTTCATTCCTTCTATTCCAAAGTGAACGATAAGGTTTCTTGTATGCACCTTCGCTGCGTGTGAACCTATGATAAAGAGGAGTTTAATTATTAAACCCCTAGGAAGGCACAAGTAATTACACCAAGAAAAGAAGTATGATAAAGAAATAGTCGTCTTCGTTTTTCTCTTAGCGCACGTTAGGTGATCTTGCTAACCTGCGCCTTCGCGGGAATGGGGAAGAGGAAAAGCAAAGAAGAACACCAGCAAAACACCAGTGGTAGAGAGAAAGCTCACGGATATCATCCTGCGAGACCCACGACTATGAACTGCTAAAGCGAAAGACAAACTACAAGAAGAGGAAAAGGAGAGTGAGAGCGACCCAAATTGGCTAGATCTGAGCAGTGCTAGGGTTGAATTGAAAACGCCGCAAAGCTCTAGTGTGAAAGGGGTAGTTATGCCGCCGGTATCAGTGTGTGATCCAAGCCCTAGTAGGTCACAGACCAATGGAACAGTGCATGCAGTTCCAACGGTGGAACAAAGAACTACAGAGATCACCAACCGGAGTGGCACCCAAGGTAAGACGGATGTGCAGATTGGAGATGGGGGAAAGATTGTTCTCATAGAACAAGCTAGTTAGAGATCACCAATCCGAGTGGCACCCAAGGTAAGACGGATGTGCAGACTGGAGATGGGGGGAAAGACTGTTCTCAGAGAACAAGCTAGCTGCCAAGGGCATGAACTTGACCTATATTCCTCGGATGATTCAGGATAGGGAGGTTGTAGTGCAGTTATTGGAGGACGATCTCGAAGATGAAAATCAAAAACGAAATCGAGTTGTGATACTCTATGTGGTTGGAAACACTTCATCTATTGGGGCAATTGAACGATTTATTGCTAGTCAATGGAGTTTTGTCAAAAAAACAAAGGTACTCTTCCATAACGATGGCTACTTTGTAATCCTATTGAATAGTAATGTTAAGCGAGATGAAGTGTTGATGACTGGCCCGTACACCATCAATAGTAGGCCTATTATACTACGAGCATGGACGGCAGAGTTCAATGAGGAAGTACTCAAAACCATTCCTCTATGGGTTAAGCTGCCTAATTAACTTTGAACTGCTGGAGTAAACAGGCTTTGAGTAAAGATTGGAAGTGGTTTGGGTAAGCCCTTGTATGCTGACGCTTGTACCACAAGTACTTACAGAATTTCCTATGCTAGGCTTTTGATTGAAATGGACATTACTAGACCTTTACTTGAAAAAATCAAGTTGAATGATCCCAAAGGCAAGGTAGTGGAGCACCATGCATATGGTGCTGTACGATTAGAAGCTATAGTACGCCAAACATGTTGCCAACTAGGATACTCATGTAAAGATCAGAAGAAGCAGAAGCAAGATGACCCACAACAAAGAGGCATAGAACTGAAACATAAGCAAGGATGGAGAATAGTAAGAAACCTCGACCATGCAGTGGACAACATTGATGCTCAAGGGAGGTTCCTTGAACAACTGGAGCTTGTGGAAAAAGACAAAATGCCTGAACATGAACATAACTTAGAATGGCAGCTTGCTAGGGGGAAAGTTGCATCGAAGAAGAATATGGGAACCTTAAAGGAGACTAAAGTTGACATTGGCAATGCTTTCAAAGCCCTAGTTGACACAGCCGAAAAAGGCAGTGCAGCTATCTGAGAATCAGCTTGACAAGGGACAGACTAGTAGGAGTGGAAGAGGAGGTGGACATCTATACCCCATAACATTACGATGAATATCATAGCATGGAATGTTAGGGGGCTGGATAAGGTGTATAAGCAAAAAGACTTTTTGCAAGGAAAATAAAGTACTTCCCCCGTTTTAATTTAGATGAGGTAGTTTGACTTGGAACAAAATTTAAGAAAGAAAAGAATACTTTTGAAACATGTGGCCTTAAAAGCTTAAGGGATAAAATCTTTGTGGGACTATGATACTTGTGTGGCTATAAAAACTTCTCATTAAGGGTAAAATGAGTAGAATAAAAAGTTTAAAAATAAATTTATTTCTAAATATATAAATGTGTCATTCTTTTTGGAATGGACTAATAAGAAAAATATGTCATCTAAATTGAAACAGGGAGAGTAGTATTTATGGCAATTATAGAAAATAGAGTCAAGAAGGAAAATGCAGCAAAAATAATTAAGAATGTTTTGAATAACTGGAAATGGGTAGATAACTATGCTGAAGCACCAGGAGGAAGAATTTGGGTAGTATGGAATCAATCACAAGTCAATTTCACTATGATAAAAGCACACAATCAGTTCATACAGGGGTAGGTTAATATGTTGCAACATAGTACAAGTTTTAACTTATGTGCAGTATATGGAATGCATACAATTCAGGATAAGAAAGTGCGGTGGGAGGACCTGAAGATGCCTATGAATGGAATGACTGGACCAAGCCTAGTGATGGGAGATTTTAACACCATTCTATATAGTGAGGATAGAATACAAGAAAACCTAGTCCAAGAGGTGGCAATGAGAGATTTCAAGAACTTCCTACTTGAGACGGGGCTAGAAGAGCTAAGGACTGTGGGGAGGAAATTCACCTAGACAAACAACCACATTCACAACAGGATTGAGAGGATACTAGTTAACTCTGAGTGGATACAGAAGTGGGCTCACATGGAGGGGATTATTATGAACCCTGGGTTTTCATATCACAACCCAGTTTATGTTTGCTTTGAGAGTGTATCAGAAGATAGAACACGACCTTTCAGATTTTTCAATTGTCTGTACCCCATAACATTACGATGAACATCATAGCATGGAATGTTAGGGGCTGGATAAGATGTATAAGCAAAAAGAATTAAAAACTTTTTGCAAGGAAAATAAAGTACTCCCTTCATTTCAATTGAGATGGGGTAGTTCAACTTCGCACAAAGTTTAAGAAAAAAAAAACTTTTGAAACATGTGATCTTAAAGGTTAAGGGGTAAAAGCTTTGTGGGACCATGATACTTGTGTGGCTATAAAAGCTTTTCATTAAGGGTAAATTGGGTAGAATAAAAAGTTTAAAGTTAAATTTATTTCAAAATATAAAAACGTTTCATTCTTTTTGGAATTGACTAATAAGGAAAGTGTGTTACTGTCATAACCCCAATTTCCCTCCGTAGGATGTCGTGATGACACCTAGTCTCTAAGACTAGGTAAGCCTATCAATTATGCGGAATACAAAACTGAAACTCATATCTCAACATATAAAATAAATCAAACCTAAATTCAAATAGTTACAACTCCCAAAACTCGATAAAAATAAGTCATAAACTTCTAACAATTTATTCTGAATGTCTCTATACATCAGGGTCTAAAGAGAATAAGGAAAGCAACATAATAAGGATAGAAGGGGACTCTGAGATCTGCGGACGCTGGCAGATGTACCTTGAAGTCTCCGCGTACGGCTAGTTCACTGATGCCTGGTCTGATAGAAAGTACCTGGATCTACACAAAAAGATATGCAGAAGCGTAGTATAAGTACGCCACATCGGTACCTAGTAAGTGCCAAGCCTAACATCGGTAGAGTAGTGACGAGGTCAGGTCAGGCCCTACTGGAAATAATAAAAGACAGGGTGAAAGTTTAACGATATAATAATAATAAAATGATAAGGAAAATGAATCAAGTAAGTAGTATGTCACAATTTAACTACACAGAATAGTAAATAATACCTCGCGAAAGGAAAACAGAAATTTACAACTTTAAGGAAAACAAAAATTTACAACTTTAAGGAAAACACAAAATAACCAAAGGAAAAATGCAGCCATAAAGAAATATCAACAAGGGCACTCCCGAGGTACCACCTCGTAGTCCCAAATCATAAATAAATTCACAATATCTCATTTTTTCTTATATCACCGCGGGAGCCTTCATATTTAATTTTAAAGAAAATATTTTTCCCGAAATAGAATCCCGCGTTTTAGCCATCCTTATCACACCGCATGACTTCTAGTAGTTTTCCCACTAGCCACGCGTATCAAGCCACCCTTATCTCATTGTATGCGTTTCAACACCCAGACTTTATACCACCGCATGCGTATCAATATCTCAATATATCACAATTTGAATCTCAAGTGCCCAAATATTTCAACTTGCCAAAATAAATCAACAACATTATTTCCACAATAAGGAGCTCACAGCTCAATCACAATGAATACAAAATCACACAAAATATTCGGAAGTGAATAACTCAACAAAAATAATATTTCACAAATTTAACACCTTGCCTTAATACAAAAAATTTTTAATGTCAAATACTTCATATTAATAATAATTGAATTAAGAAATTCAACTTTCAAATAATGAGCACAAAATAAAAGAAACAATGTTTCAATTAAACAGGTAAAGCAATTAGGAGGAAAAATGTCACGCAAATTTCAAAATATAAAAATAGACCGATGATGATGAATATAATTGGATAAAATAATTTAATTAATGTGTAACAGAGATCTACACAATTTAAAACCAGAGTTTTCCACATTTAGTCAGTGTACACACTCGTCACCTCGCGTACATGACTTTCAACACATCACAATTATCATATCAATACCAATTCTAAGGGAAATTTCCCCCCCACAAGGTTAGACAAGTCACTTACCTTGAATCGTGAAATTCTTTACTCCGCTATGCCTTTGCCTCGCGAATCGGACTTTGAAAGCCTCGTATCTAGGCATAATAA